CATCACATAAAGGTGAAAGCTCAAAAAGTTTAAACTTCAGTAGTAATGTTTCACATCAATTTGCTTTATTTGTAAATGTTTATATTATTTGATTAAAGCTAGATTACAGTCCATTCTGCGCATGTGCGGGCTTTGTTTACATTTTTTGTTTTGGTTTGGATCCACTTCAATTGTATAATATGAAGTATAGCGGCTAAATAAATGGAGTCCGAGTGAGGAGTGGAGTTGTTAAATTTTTTAAAATTGTCTTCTGAAAGACAAGCAATTAAATATTTTGAAAGATCATCAATGGAAGATATATTGTTGATCAATTCGGCACTTGTTTTTGTGTGCCTCGTTGATGAAACATTCAGAAGAGACCGACACAGCCGAGCCAAAGGTGCGAGTCCGCACTCATTGTGTTGATTATATTAATGTTCGGCATTGTAAAATAAACTTTGGAAGTGTCAAAGTAATCACGAATCTTTCCTTGGGGTATTTGTTCGTCAAAACACATTGCCAGAGTTATTGTTGCTGTCATGGCAGAAGCACTCGGAGAAAGCTTTTCGCTGGAAGAATTGGAAACGATATGTTCATGTCGCGGCTAAGTTGCGCCAGCTTCTGTCTTCGATAGAGAGGTTGAAATTCCTGTCCCTGCAATAGTATGGGTATTCTTTGCTCAAACGCGTGCCACGAAGAGGATTTTGATGCATGTATGAACAATCGAAGGACAGATGGTGAGTTTGTATTATTGCTATTAGTTATGTACTGTTCGTTATAAACGTGCTTCACATGTAATCTTATTGTATTCGTTCATTAGTTTATATATGTTTCGTTAGTTTATACGCAAAAAAATGGCCTGAGCAATGGTTCATTTGAGAATATGTAATGTTGTTCACTGTGATAGTTCACTCAAAGGATAATGATTATCTAACAATAGCTGGGTAAATTTTGTTTACATATTTTGATACTTTGCTTGCCAAGAATATATGCAGACATACATTTCTGAAAGCTTTAACCACTGGCTTTAGTACACGTGATTTGTTTTATTAAATAGCCCACATAATTATGCATATCCTTGCCGGGTAAAATATCAAATTATGTAAAAAAAAGTTTACCTGTCTATATACAAGTCTACATTGGTGTGAAAATGCAGTAATTTGGTGGTAAGAAATATCTGTGTTTCACTGTGCTTGAGTCTTTGCATTTAATTAGTGATAAATATATTCATTTCAGAATCTTGTGGAAGCAATGGATTTAAATGCCCTTTGAAGAGCATTTGCGTTAGAGCTTATACAGCGTCAGCCAGCTGCATTTGTCAATTTGGCAAATGGTGAATTGCCAGGTGAACCGCTTCAACCAGACCCAGCTACGAAAACCCAGAAAATGCCTCAGAGTTTGCAAATGTGGATGCTGTGTTGCAATGCCAACAAAATTGGAAAACAAATGCTGTACACAATCAAGACAGCCTTGCATAACCCTAGCCCTCTCTTCCCACAGTTAATACTTGATGGAAATGTTCGATCTGGACATGGCCATGCATTAGATACCCTGGTCCCAGAGGTTTATTTTTATTATTTTCATTGTGAAGGGAAGAGGAAAAATAAACCTTTGGTTGAATGCGGCAATTGATTCATCAAGCCGCGCCAATCAGTTTGAATTAGGGTCAGATCCTGACTCTGTCCTCTGGTTGGATGATTGTATTAAAGCTCTCTGATTGATTCAAATAAAACATCTATAACCAATCAGAGAGCTTTAATACAATCATCCAACCCTAATTCAAACTGATTGGCGCGGCTCGATCAATCAATTGCCGTTTTCAACCAGAGGTTTATTTTAAACCTCTGGAACCAGGGTATGCATTAGAGGGATCATTGAGGGAAACTTTATTATTCATTAATCCATTTTACTGCAATTATCTACCCTTGACAGGGAGGATCATTTTAAATATTTTGAAAGAACTTGGGTAATTCACACCTGTTAAGGCCCGTTCACACAAGCGATTTTAAACTTTGATTTTCTCCTTTTGGCATATGTGTTTTAGCAAAATTACAGGAAACATTACTTTGCGTGGCTTGATTATTCAGTCTAACACATACACCAAAAGAAAATTGCAGTTCAAAATTGCTTCAAACTTATTTTAAGCTTTCTCTATCTCCCACAGCAAATTTTGCTAACAAATAAAAGCATTTATCAAGTTAATGCGTTAAATCTTTATGAACAGTAATATTTCATTTTATAAAAGACAAGTTATCAAATGCATTGGATGTCCAAGCACAACATTTGGTATTGACATTGATTTTTTTATTCTTTAAAATTACTCCTTGCTCCAGTCCTGAAAAGTGTATTGCTGTGCACCGAAGATCAATGAATCCAATATGGACAGCCTGACTCACTATTGGGGTCCGGGGTGTTGTAAGAGTTCCTTCTCCTAGGTGGACTGCCTTTCAGGGATTATGAGCTCCACGTAACCAGAGCACTTTGTTTTAAGTGCCAGACACTTGTCTACATTGATCAGTTGAATCTAGACTGATGGGTTTCAACAAGTTATTTGACTGAAGGAGGAGGGACAGGGGTTATGTTAGGAGTGATTTGCCTTTGGTCATCACTTGCAACACCAATCCCCATACCTAAAGAAGACTTATAATTAGTTTTATTCCTGTTTAAATGCACATTAGTGCCTGCTGATGAATGTGTTTTAAAAGCACTTAAGTAGCTTTTTTCAAGCCACATTTTGATTTTGTTGATGTTCATGCAAATCAAAATTTGGCTTTCCAAAAAGCCATTAATTAAAACACATCAATCAGCAGGTGCTACTGTGCCCTTAACATGCCTAGAGAATGATCAATATATTTGTTTGAAAATGTGATATAAAGAATATGGAATTTCATAATGAAAGCTAAAAGTCACTTTTTTTCTCACTAGGATTCAGGAAAGCATAAAATGTTATACATACCTTCATTATAAGTTGTAGGATGTATTCGTACTGCTTAGGAGAATCTTTAGTAAGAATCTTTATATGGCTCCATTGCTTTTTCCCCTTTCTGAGCATATACTGGCAATGGCTCATGTCTGCATTGTATTGTTTCATCTGGCTGCTGATCCGTCTGGGTTTCCACAGCGCTATAAGTGCACAATAAGGTTTTGTAATCAGGAAATATAACAACATTAACATAACTGAAATATCCAGGGATATGTGTTATGTGCTTATCACAATTAAATCCGTCTTGATGTTTCGTATACAGGCTCGATCAGCAGAGTATTCGCGAACCCTCGTCATTTTTAATCCCAGCTTCAGTTTTGAAATGATTTCACCGACCAATAGCGTCATTAAAGTACATTTTCGTTGCATACCTTTTCGCGAAATGTTCTTTTCGATTTCCTGGTTGGTTTTGGCGACCATCATTAGAAGGATTTGCCTTTGAAGTGGACGGCTCTATTATTATATATAACTCTTGCGAGTCGGCCATTTTGAGCGCGCATATCCGAATAAGGACTGGGGAGCACACAAAATCAAAACAAGTGTGCTCACATTTGTTTACATTTTTTACACATGCGCAGAAGTGACTGTAATCTAGCTTTAAAGTATTACACCCCCTGAAATAGTAATATGCAAATACTATTCCAGGGGGGAGTTCAGCGTGCAGTCTCTGCAGAAAGTGCAGTGTAAATAAAATGGCGTGTCACGAGATTTGCAAGTTTAATAGTTGGACGTACTCTATTTTATGCTGTTCAAGGTTCAGTTAATGTTATGGGTGTATTTTTGGGTATAGAGTTTTGTCGGATTATAGATTTTTTGAGACCTGAGTATTTACTGTCGATGCAATATTTTATCAACACTTCCATTGCATCGATTCATGGGTGTAGGTAAAACATGGCCCTAGGCCATGGCCCAGTGTATGGCCCTACCCTAGGCCCACCTGTTTTTTGTTTAATTTTGACGTGTAAATTATGTCAAAATTATTTTAACGTGTTAAGTTCATATACGTTTCATATATATTATATAATATTGATTTTAGCTCATTTCTAAAATACGAAATAAGTTTTGACCAGTCACCTGTGCGTTTTACGATTAGTACATAATATGGACTATTACATAAAGTACGAACAACCAAAACAACACATGATCACGTGAGAGAATCAATGTCGGCCGCATGGCGCACAACTGCATCGTTTCATGGGGTGAGTTTTTATCGTTTCTTGTAGCTTTTTGCTATCAATACGAACAGGTGCTTGCCTTGCAATTTAATGTTGAGAACTCTCTAACGTTTATAAACGTTTGAATTTTAGAAAATTGTGTTTAAAATAAAAAAAATGAAGCGATCGAGGTGAGTTTGAAGAATTACATTTGGACGCTGTTTATTTAAAATATGTTGAAATATTTACCTTATGTCGAAACCTTTTAAATACAAATAACACAGGATTTTAAACAGACTTGAAAACAAGTCAAAAAGTTCCCAAAGTTGCAAAATTATGCGGATTCCGAATATTCGGAATTATCTAGTCTGTAAAGTGTAAATATGTAAATATTTCAACATATAAACAGTGTCCAAATGTAATTCTTCAAACTCGCTTCGATCGCTTCATTTTTTTATTTTAAACACGATTTTCTAAAATTCAAACGTACGTTAGAGAGTTCTCAACATTAAATTGCAAGACAAGCATCTAGATCTGCTCGTATTGATAGCAAAAAGCTACAAGAAACGATAAAAACTCACCCCATGAAACGATGCAGTTGTGCGCCATGCAGCCGACACAACCTCGCAAGCCAGGGTCTTCTACCTACGCTGGGCTGCGGCGAAGACCCTGGTTCAGGCTGGTCACGTGACACCTCAAAATCTCCCAAAATCTGGGAGATTTTTAATTAGCGCTCAATTCAACTCGTAGGGAGGGGTGGCAAAGTCAATATGCTGCTTTTAGCACTTATTTGCAAATGGGACGTCTGGCGCCGTGATGTCTTTTGCAATGCCGAAATGCAATATATACTAAAAAATCGCGGCTCACACATTCAGATAGCCAATATGGCGCAGCGAAAAGAAACGCCAAAGAAGGTATACGCCAAATCGAACTTAGATTCAAAGTCTATGTGTCGACTTTGTTGCAGCATAATCGATCCAAAACACTGCAAAAACCTGTACAATAAGGCCAGTGTAAACGTGCTTGCTTCTGCCGAATTATTATACGGTGGAAAACTACTGCGTGGCGATTCACTTCCTCATCTCGTATGCCGACCTTTTGAAAGACGACTGGATAACTTCATGAAGTTTAAAAACATGATATGTGATAACCAAGACTCCATGATGCGCCAAAAGAGATGCGTTGAGCTTTCGCCTTCTGCACCTACCGCTGATGAAAAGAGTGCAAAAACAGACACACTAATTCGTGGTAAATCCTCTCAAAGACAAAGTCGTCGAAGCCTTTCCTCATCATTTGAAACATACGATCTCCCCTTGGAACCTACATTGCCCAAGGTATATGCTATATTTACTGTAAATAATCATTCTATATGCTTCATCTAGGGAACTTTCATTTTATAATATTTTAAAATTAAAACTTTATATAATTTTTGGTTTATCATAAATATAGATTAATGTTGAAACTCAGACCGTCGAAGACACCGTTTCCAAACCGGCCCTGAATGGATTGCCGTTCGGTGAAATACTCAAGAAAATAGATGAAGAACTACGAAAGATCGCGCGAAGAGACATGAATTCTGTTCTTCGCAGAAAGGATTTTGACGCTATGAGTAGTTTTTCGTTGGAGAACATTCTCAAAGAGCTACGAACTGTGTGCCCAGTAACATTCACAAGTTTATCCCAGATGCTAGATTTGGACTGTGGCAACGAAAAAAAAGTTGCTCCTCTGTGCCTTATTTACGGCGTGTTGATGTTTAGACGATGTCATGAATTGAGTTTAATACAACGCCTTATTACCATCTTACTAGCTGACAGTGACGCCAACACGGAGGTAAATTAACACAAAATATCTATTTGACTAATTTTTTTTGACTGCCGATAAACAATGTTTCGTGGTTTTTTTTTTGTATACAGGGTGTATCAAAATTAGCGTTTCAATGCCTATAATTGAAACGGTAATTATAATTTATAGTGTTTGCAGGTTTTTTTATACACCCTGTATAGTCTGTACAAGCATTGTGATGAGCAGCTAAAACTTTTTGCAAATTTGTTTTAAATTTTAATATTATATAGTTCGTAGCAAAGCCACTAATCTTACTTGTTTTATACTTGGGCATAAGCTATTTTTTACGCACCTTTTCATGGGATTTTCAATGTTCATAAAATTTATTATTTCTGTCGCAAATAGTGCACAGATTTTGTGCCTGGTGTTGTCAATTTCATTTCAATCAAGTCGAATTCTATTGTTGTGATATGTCACGCAACATTAAACGCAATCGTATCAAAACAAAAGCCTGCTGAGTCTTGTTATATAATTTATAGTTTATATTCGTTTGGATAGATAAGTAAATATTGCACGGGCCGTGACGATTTGCGGCGCATTACAGTTACTGTAAAACTGGTCTAAAGACTAAAATCTTACATACATTGTTCTAATAGACTAAAATTGCCAATTATTATATTAAAGGCTGATTTCCGCTGTTGCGTTTTTCGTACGCACGTACACGCACATAAAACTTTGAATCCTTCTATTTTTTAAACATTTTACAAATAAGTTGACAAATGCATACTAAAACTTGTGGAACACTAAATTCTGTTGCTTTATTTATTTGGTTATTTCATAAGTAACATTTAAACGGATTTAAAGTTTTACGTGCGTGTACGTACGTATGAAAAACGCAACAGTGGAAATCAGCCTTAAAACGCGCTTGTACTGTGGCCGTGGGTTCAATTCCTACCAGAGGACCTTGTGCTGCATTTTCGCAGTCGTTCCTGGTTAGGTCTTAAAATGTATATATTCTCACTTGGATTACAAACCCTAACATACTAATATTGTACTGTTGTACAACGTTTTAGTACCCTGAAGACGACATGGGTTCACGTGCCAAAAGCTTATTTTAAATAAATATTAATGGTGAAAATAACTTAAATTAGCAACATTAGTTAATATTTTGGCTAATTGTGTTACTAAAGCTTTGCATGTCCTTTTTTATATGTATACTGTAGGTATATGAGAAATTCAACAAGTTTGGTCTTTGTCTGGTAAAAACAATGAAGTATACCATACAGGAAGACATTGGTGCTCATTTCCTAGACAAAGTCGTACAGGAAGTTAAGGATGGAAAAACATTCTCCTTTGTCATTGACAACATTGACTGGGAGGAGCATGTTCATGAAATGCGGTCAGATAACCAAAACCAGAGTGTGCATGCCGTAGCAACATCTATAGTGTTTGATCGTGTTTCATCCAGCCACTTGCCAGATGAAGAGCCACAGCAGTCCTTAGCTTCTTGTGATGTTGTCAAATTAGTCCAGTTATCGGACAGTGATATTGCAATTCAAAAGCGAGTTTATAAGTCAATAGCCGCACATATTCTTTGTGAATACATCCCAACCTTTAAATTCCTCAAGGACTTGGTGACTCATTTTGATGTACCAATGCAACATAAAGTAGAGATGCAACAAAAGTCCCTTGTTGTGCCCTTCCCTGTCCTGTTTAAAGATGAAAAGAGGTATGCAGAAATTGTGGATGTGTTGGATCAGCTGGAAAAATGGGTCCACCACATTTATGCTCTGGCAGGCAAAATTCCACCTGAGAAAGATATCTCAAATGCCCACCATGTGACCCTTCCATCATTACCATCTACCTCCAACCTGACCAGCCATTATCACATGTCCACCCTGTTGCTGATCCGAATGATCCCTTAGCAAAGGTGCGAGTACCATGTTATGGTGATCAGCTCACCCGAGTGCGAATAGCTGGAGCCAAAGATTTACGAGCTGGCTGTCATACTGCAAAGGATCAGATCAGTCATATCTACCCAATAAAGTGTGCAGACTGGCACTGCAAGAGAAGTTTTTTGAAGGTAATTGCAAACATTGCATTTGAATTGTTATAATGAGACAAGGCAATTTATTGCAAAACTCTGACAATGTTATTCATCAGCTTTAGAAACAATGCTTATTAAGTGCCAGTTTTTAAAATGGAGTCTCAAATTGTTTTGTACTTATCCTAATTCTGACAAGCTCTTTTCATTTTAATGGTATGAATAAGAAGCACTATATAATTTCAAATTGACTTAGAAAGCAGGATTAATTAAAGTCTATTCTTTGTTAATTCTGACTCCGATTGCAAGTTTTGCTAGTTGTATGTACGTACACTCGATCAGCAGGCATGATGAGACAATCTCATGTGGTCATAGTTAATATTGACTAGAACTGTGATATACAGCCTAGCTGCCCAGATACTGTTATTAAATGACTAATTAAAAGTGATTAGCTTAAAAGGTAAATTTGATTACTAATTTCGGACTGCAAGCTAGGGTAGAGAGCCATTACAGAAAGCGTTGGGTGGACTTGCTATTGACTCAACTTGACTTAAATCATTGACTTGACTGGAGTAAAGCCGCTGACTCAACTGGATGTTATAGATTCATGTTTTGCTATTTATGAATGCTAATCCTAACCCTAACCACAAACCATAAATTATAAACAGCGAAACATGAATCTATGTCCCAACTTGAGTGAAGCCGCTGACTCGACTCAATCAGAAACTGAAATGACTCTACTTGACCTTTGAGTGACTCGACTCATGACTCGACCTGTAGGTGACTTGTTACAACACTGGCTTTTACTCACTGACAGTAGGCAAAAAAGCAACAAATGTACATTTCTAATTTTCATAATTTTATTGGGGTTTTTTCTAGCTAATTTTCAAGAAACTCTACAAGAATTCTGGGCGAGCAGCAGGCACGATTCTTTAGGGAGAAATTGCAACGTAGAAATGTTACTCGTGATGTGAAACACTTCGAAGAATGCGAGCAATTGTTTCTAAGTGTTGGTCGGGCATATACGGTTGCTGCTTTCTTGCAATTTTTTGGCATGTCAGCACTTGATGACTCCCCAAGTCACAACATTCCACCTTATGATGTGGTACAAGGCAATGGTGACCAGAAATTATATTTTGATACAATTCTCGATAAGTTTGTTGAAGAATATTTAATGCAAACTACACATCCTGCTGATTGTGATGAAGAGCCTGATGACCAGCAACCAGATCGTGTAAGAGAGTACTCCATCTGCCTTGTACGATTTTTCTTCATATTAGAAGATTTCAAACGTGCCGTGAGAATGGGAGATGGTGACCGGTTAGCGTCATTAGGTAAGGTATTGTTAAAACATTTCAAGAGTGATACTGGTTACAATATCTACGCAATTGAAATGTTCATCAGCATCTTACAGGATACTGTTTTCCTTACTGAAGCACAAGCTCACCAGACAAGGTGGGCTTCCCTTGCAACCCTGAGAGGAGGACTGGACCATAATATGGAAATAGATCTTCTACAGGAAGTTATGAATAGAGAGCTGAAGAAAGGAATAAAAGGAATGGGTGCCAATAAAACACCTAGGTCAATAGAAAGGTTAAGTCGGGCAGCAGGCGGCACAATGGCACTTGTGAAAAACCTTGACTTAGCTTTGGGAATAAAGAGCAAATCATCCCATCATAGTCACAAATCGTCTCTGAAAGATGAGAAAATCATAATTGATGACCTCATTGAATTAAAACCATTTGAACAGGTTGACAATCGTCAGCATGAAAGTTTTGAAGATACATCATCAGACACGTTAAGTACTCTAGACAATAATGCATTTCATGACTGGTTGAAACGACACAAGAAAAACCTTCTTAAACGTGGACCAGTAGACATTTCTTCAGAGGATGAAGATGAAACAATTTGACTGCATTAAAATAATCATTGTGATTAAATGCAAACTTATCTAGCACCTTTCAACTATGTGTTTTAATGACCTTGTGACAAAGAGTAAATTGGATTAAATTTGATCTTGTTAATGCTCAAATTCCAAATTGACCAATTTTAAAAACAAGTAAGCTTATTAAAACACATCGCTGTAAAGGTGTCATTTTGCCATTATTGTTTTATATGATATATATATATATATATATATATATATATATATATTATATATATATTATATATATATATATATATATATATATATATATATATATATATATATATATATATATATATATATTTATATAGATGGAACACAGTAATTGGTTACGACCAGAAAATAAACGTACATTTTTTTATTAAGGTTGAAAATTATTTTATGTTTCTTTTCTGTTCATAACCAATTACTGTGTTCCATATGTTAAAAACGAGTTGGTTGGGAAAAGTATTGTCCATTGGGACTATATTCAAACTATAAAAGTTGAATTTAAGTATTTATTATGTTTACACAATTGCAAGAAAATGTCAACCCAATATTTTTGATGTGCTGCTGTCTCTGATGTTTCCGGTGAAATTAATTGTGTTTATATTTGACATGTAAATTATAAAAACATTAAGGTGCAATGTAAGCTCATTTTTTAACACCAACTGATCATATTTGGAAACCAGAATAATTGTGCCTTAATGGTTAAATAATTTACATACCAGTATCTATAATGCACTCGATGCATTCACAGGTTTCCTTACACACACTGCAACATAAATGTCCAGGTGAAACAGGTACTGGTAGGTTGACATCCAAAAACTGTAGAAGTAAGCATCGCAAGCATTGATCATTGCAATGGCAGTATGTCCTTACTTCTTCTTGGAAACCTGGTTTGTTCTGAGCAATATCTCTGTTGCTGTAATAGAGGATAGCTTTTGAAAACTTACCATCTCTGCCTGCTCTACCAGTTTCTTGGAAATACTCCCTTATCGTTCTGGGCGGTCCAATATGAATAATTTGCCTAACTGAATGTATGTCTACTCCCATTCCAAATGCAACTGTAGCGAATACCACTCTGAGGTTTGATTTCTCTGAATTCAGCTGGCATAATATTTCTTCCTTCATACTGGTTGTTTGGGGTGCATGGAATTGAGCAAATAGTCTGTTTCTTGGAACAGGTGAAGAATTGGATGGGTAGTACTGATACAATCCCAGGATGCTCTCAAACAGTCTCTATACAAACCCACACCATTTAAGTGGCATATACATAATTGTCAATGGATAGTTGATGGTCATATTCATTAGGTCATTGGCAATTGGTCTACAAATGTTCTCAATGGAGTCAATGTCTTGTCCCTTTCTAAAACATTTCTCATAAAATATATTCCTACGATCAGGATTTGCTACCAACTCGGCACAATTCTTTAACCCAAGCGATTCTTTGACATGCTTTCTGTCCATTTTATTTGCAGTTGCAGTCAATGCAAGGACCGGAGCATTGGGAAAACTTGCACACAACATTCCAATCTTTCCATAATCTTTTCTAAAATCATCTCCCCTAAAAGCACAATGATAAGTGCATGTTAGAATGTATCATAAATCTATACATTCAATAAACATAGTCAAGGAAAGTTTCAAATTCCCCGTTATTGCTAGGGTCTGTATTCTAACTGTAGTACAAAAGTCTAGCTACTGTAATTGACACATTGTGCATTTATAATGTTAAAGTAGGTTCTATATTAGCGAATAACATTTCTTCCAAACTATTACAGGTAAACCATACAAATTTGTTATCTCATAATTTATATACATACATACATACACATATTTATATACATACCATTCTATGATGCAGTGTGCTTCATCAATGACAAGAGCACAAACATTTTTTTGATAGACCACACTATTGACAAGACTTCGTCCAAATCTGCTAGATAACAGTGATTCAGGATGTGCAAATAAAATGTTATAATAACCAGCAAGCAGTCTTTCCTTTTTGTCAAGTTCAACTACGTCGCAGAGAACTTCGTCGTCGCTAGAATCACTTGTAATATCATCACAAGTTCTGTTGACATTTAATATGGACACTCGAAGGCCTGTCGTAAGTATCTTCCGAATTTGGTCGTTAATGAGCGAATTTAGAGGGGAAATAACAATAACGACAGACGTTAAGTCGCATTCATTAATGGAACGTTGAATCTGGCTTCCTTCTAACCATTCTTTGCAGTACAACAGCAACGGTAGAATCTGATATATTAACGATTTCCCATAACCTGTTGGAAGAACCGCCAGTACATCCGAGCCAAAAAACAATTTTTCCAAACAAATAACTTGCTTTGGTTTTAACATAATATTAGAATATAAGCTATTTCTAATAGCGAAATGTAAGCAAGCAAAGAAAATCATACATTTAGCTCCTCTTTCCATTTTATCTGCTATATTTGCGTCGAAGCAAGCTACCAAAATTTGCGCTCTTCACCCCTTCGAAACGACGATACACGCTGTTTTCAACCGGAAGTCGATTTTTGCACCACTGGTGTTCTACCCATCCCCCCCAAGGTGGAGAGTAAGTAAAAGTGTCACGTGACCAGCCTGAACCAGGGTCTTTGCCGCAGCCCAGCGTAGGTAGAAGACCCTGGCTTGCGAGGTTGCATGTATATTAGTATATCTGACACAGTATATGAGAACTTGACTTATTGTTGCTATGTACTTTCGAAGCTTGGTGCCCATGATATTTTTACGATTTTTCAATTCCGGGACACATTTTAAGGTAAAACTCCTCAGGCAATCTGGTCCTCTTAAAGGTTCAAGTGAATCACGGTCGGCCCTTGCGAAAACGTAAGGATTTTGTCTGCTACCCCAATGGTCGATCACAAAGAATACAACAGGTCGATACCTACGTGTGCCATGACATATTTAAATAACACCTAAAGATACAAATTAAATTTGTCATTATATATAGAGATGACTAAATGGTAGTTCACTGGTAGTAGTAGACGTGTGAATTAAAAGTTCTTGATAGGATTTGGTTTGGACATTTTTATGCATGGAGCTTTCATTTATTACGAGATTCCCACCCATCATAAACCATTCATAAAATATCAATTTTCTTACCGTGCTGATAGCTGTCATTCCGAAGAACTTAGACTATCCAGGATTTCCGTATTGGCTGACCGGGTCCAATCAGATAGATCTGCTGTTGTAGGATGTCAGCAGCAACTTCAATGCTTCGCCAGCCCTTCTTTTTTTGAGCATCACGACCCTTGCCAACAGCAGTTTGGCCAGCAAGGTCCAGCTTCTCATGGTTGGACTTGCTTTCAAACTGACTCCTCTTCGATCATTTGCTTGATGAAGTTCTTTAGATGAGTAATATCTTTGGCAAGAGAAGGGCACATCAACTTCATTAAATTTTTGTTCATGCAGGGTAGACAAAGAATGATGGGAAACATATACCTCCATTCTGATTTCATCAGTTTTTGAAAGTTCTTAATATCTTTCAATGTAAAATCATCCTACGTATACAAAGCCTAAACCACTTAAAATGGAGGCACATTTTTGTATTGAGTAACCCACTTTCAATGCCAGTGATGGAATGCTCACTTTGAGCTGATCATTTTGTGAATTGAATCCAGCGATATTGTGTACAGCTGTGACAACCATATCAAACATCTCGGGCTTGATGAAGTCAGACAACTGTACGTTTTTACTTTTCTCAACTGACATTAAACCTTCTACTAAGCGACCAAGCTCTCATTTTCTGAGAAATGAACTGGCCGTCTTTTGGTCCGCTTTTTTCAATGCCTTGATCAGAGGGTCTTTCTGAACAATTTTGAAAATACAATCGTTTTTCATGACAGAAATTATTTTGTTTAATCTTTCATCTTTGCTGCCAGTTATCAAAGGAGCTAACATAAGTTTTGTCTTCAGTTGGACTTGCTGTTTACCATTGCCATGCTCGTTTTCAGGTTTTTTGGATTGTGTTCGCAAGTCAACTGGTGTTTCCACAGGCCCAATCTTTTCATGAAGCCTAGGCAAAACTCACAAGGAAGGAAGTTGTGGATACTGTAAGTCAAACAATAAGTTCCCCATCACCAATTTCTAGGATGTTCATGTTGTGGTAATAGTCACCTTTCAGACAAAGTTTTGCCAAATTCTTCTTTCACTCGGACGAGGTCTTTTTATAGGACAAGGCCTGAACTACATCATATTCTTGCTTGTGCTTGGTCAATAAATGTCTGCCAATTTTCGAGCATAATGCCCCAGAGTAGAAGCAAGCTTGCCGTCGGTTATAATTAGGACTTTTTCTTCAGTTTTTGAATTGTTTTTGACGTAGCCTGAAAAACAAATGGTTTGACGTAAGAGGTTTGGTACTGTTGATTCTAAAGGAACGAACATGTATATTAGTATATCTGACACAGTATATGAGAACTTGACTTATTGTTGCTATGTACTTTCGAAGCTTGCTGCCCATGATATTTTTACGATTTTTCAATTCCGGGACACATTTTAAGGTAAAACTCCTCAGGCAATCCGGTCCTCTTAAGGTTACAGAACACCTTTGAGTGTTAATTTTGCCTAAAATTTTTTTATTGGTTTCAATGAAAGCATTAGACTAGTTCTACTATCTGACCAAGTTTGAACGAAAAATGTTGAAAACTCGCAGAGTTATTTAGTAAAATACATTTCGCTGCAATAAGAAAAACATTGAAAATGTAATATTCAAATTCAATTTTCTCACGAAAAATTTTACGGTAATTACTGATTTTCAAACGAGTTATGCTCCTGCAGGTTTTAACCAATTTTTCTCAAATTTTCACAGGACATAGCTAAATACGTCAGTTTCAAAATCGTGTTCGGCTTTTATTTAATTTTGGATATTTTAAAAATAAAGAGCAATTCACTCAAACAATTCAGAAATATATTGCAGTCGTCAAAGAAATCGCCATATCAGCGGAATGACGAAATAAACAAAAATTTCCGAACACGATTTTTTAGAACAACTATTTTACTGTATAAAAATGATATTTTCATAAATATAACTTAAAATCAGCAGGAGCACAACTCAAAAGCGTAAAGGTACCGCGATTTAAGATTTTCCTGAATAACTTTTACATTATTCTATTGTTTGTTAATTTTACAACTTTACCATATTTTGCATGCACTGGAGAACATTTGGTGAAAATTTGATGAAAATCCGACTGATATTGAGCGCGCAGTAGCGATTTTCCGCAAAACGCCAAAAAGGGTGTCCTGTAACCTTAAAGGTTGAAGTGAATCACGGTCGGCCCTTGCGAAAACGTAAGGATTTTTTCTGCTACCCCAATGGTCGATCACAAAGAATACAACGGGTCGATACCTCATAAATTTATGTGCCATGACATATTTAAATAACACCTAAAGATACAAATTAAATTTGTCATTATAGATAGAGATGACTAAATGGTAGTTCACTGGTAGTAGTAGACGTGTGAATTAAAAGTTCTTGATAGGATTTGGTTTGGACATTTTTGTGCATGGAGCTTTCATTTATTACGAGATTCCCACCCATCATAAACCATTCATAAAATATTAATTTTCTTGCCGTGCTGATAGCTGTCATTCCGAAGAACTTAGACTATCCAGGATTTCCGTATTGGCTGACCGGGTCCAATCAGATAGATCTGCTGTTGTAGGATGTCAGCAGCAACTTCAATGCTTCGCCAGCCCTTCTTTTTTTGAGCATCACGACCCTTGCCAACAGCAGTTTGGCCAGCAAGGTCCAGCTTCTCATGGTTGGACTTGCTTTCAAACTGACTCCTCTTCGATCATTTGCTTGATGAAGTTCTTTAGATGAGTAATATCTTTGGCAAGAGAAGGGCACATCAACTTCATTAAATTTTTGTTCATGCAGGGTAGACAAAGAATGATGGGAAACATATACCTCCATTCTGATTTCATCAGTTTTTGAAAGTTCTTAATATCTTTCAATGTAAAATCATCCTACGTATACAAAGCCTAAACCACTTAAAACGGAGGCACATTTTTGTATTGAGTAATGCACTTTCAATGCCAGTGGTGGAATGCTCACTTTGAGCTGATCATTTTGTGAATTGAATCCAGCGATATTGTGTACAGCTGTGACAACCATATCAAACTTCTCAGGTTTGATGAAGTCAGACAACTGGACGTTTTTACTTTTCTCAACTGACATTAAACCTTCTACTAAGCGACCAAGCTGTCATTTTCTGAGAAATGAACTGGCCGTCGTTTGGTCTGCTTTTTTCGATGCCTTGATCAGAGGGTCTTTCTGAACAATTTTGAAAATTCAATCGTTTTTCATGACAGAAATTATTTTGTTTAATCTTTCATCTTTGCTGCCAGTTATCAAAGGAGCTAACATAAGTTTTGTCTTTAGTTGGGCTTGCTGTTTACCATTGCCATGCTCATTTTCAGGTTTTTTGGATTGTGTTCGCAAGTCAACTGGTGTTTCCACAGGCCCAATCTTTTCATGAAGCCTAGGCAAAACTCACAAGGAAGGAAGTCGTGGATACTGTAAGTCAAACAATAAGTTCCCCATCACCAATTTCTAGGATTTTCATGTTGTGGTGAGAGTCACCTTTCAGACGAAGTTTTCACCGAATTCTTCTTCCTTTCGGGTGTGTTCTTTGTATAGGAGAAGGCCCGAACTACATCATCTTCCTTGTGTTTGGTCAATAAATTCTTGGCAGTTTTGTAGCATAATGCCTACAGTAGAAGCAAGCGTGCCGTCGGTCAAAGGCATTGCATCTTGAGGCACCTCCCAGAACGCTAGAGCAACTGGCATTGATTGTCTATATGTTGAAGAAATAAATGTCAGAATTGACGGTGCCACACGGAAATGTGAACCATAACTACCGTTGGAACAGTGTCAATGAGAAACATGATTTTGTTTTCATAATTCACAGTTACTTTGTTTTTGTAACAATTTGTTTGCAGTGCGTTTTTGCATCGGTAACAGCATGCTGAACATCTGGTTTAAGTGCATCCTATACAATAATAACATATGTCTCATTGCTTATATGGAAGGTAAACCTCGTAGACAAAACATAATACGGGCCATACGGCATACAAAGCATTGTTTAACAATTTGTTTAACAATGATAACTTGTGCAAGTGGAGTACAGAAGGAAATTTATTTAGTATCTACTTCGACTATAAGATTAAGCAAGTGTGCGAAACATCCCGCCAATCTTTCTGCATGGCTGCTAGTGGTGGGAAAAGATTTTCTTCATCATCGTCAGACTCTTCGGGCTCAACCATTGCCCAGGCACGAAGCTCTTCTGGCACCTCAAGGACCGTCTCACTTTTAAGGGCAAGTGTCGTATTGGAAGCGTTGTCAGACACACCAACATGAAATTTAGGTACCTCCCCACTTATCCACCTCTCACACACCAATCGCAACTAAATTTAAAATTCGTAAGATAATTAAAACATGTGGTACTTAATATATATAACTTTTTATAGATAAATTTTAAGGGACTTACGATACTTACCGATTTTCTGATGTTGTATGTGTGCGCGCTGTGTGTAAACTTCTGTAACTCTAAAAGAGCATTCTTCATCTCGAAGCGCTTTTGCTCACCATTTTCAACAGCCCAATGAGCGGTAACCGTAATGTATTCCCGATTCTGGCCTTTGCACTTCCACATGTCCATTGTAAAGTTCACCTGACTTTCCGACGACTCCGTTTTTTAAATTTTTTCTTTTAAATCAGAAAAAAGTGCAGGAATAACATTATTTGTCAGTTCCCTTCTCGATATTATAGAGTATCAAGGCTCTAGAATTTTTAAAAGCTCTCTAAAGCCTCGTTCTCTATGATGGAATACGGTCTTAAATCGACAGCTACCATCGTTCCAATAGCGCGTGTGATTGCTTGTGCCTTTGTGCAGTCTTTTTGCAAAGGTATACTATGTGTGAATGTTTGCTGGAGGGTCGGCTGAGTGGTAGAAGATGATGGCCTACACTGTTTCAAATGAATCCATAATGGCCCATTTCCGCACGACTTTGCTTTTGAGGTGGAGTGTCCATAACTGACAACTTGACGACATTTTCTGCAAGTGGGTTTTGAACCATAAAGTGGGTTTTTAATAAAATGATCCCAGATGCTAGGCTCTTCAGATCGTTTTCGTTTCTCAGCAGTTGCCATATTAAATATATCTTGTTGTCACAGCAAACAATTTGAACTTAGAACTAATGAGACTGTTTCAATGTTTGACCACTCTATGTATAATCATTTGTATTATCTTAGACTTTTATAGCATAGGCAGTAGGTATGGCATTTCCGTGTGTGAGTTTAAATGGCAGCAAAACAAGATAAATGGCACATTGTAAAGTGTGTCAAATTCAAGGATTACAACAAAAGTACTATTAAATAGCGAACGTTGTTTATCGAGGAAATGTTTTTACTATTTGGAAAATTAAGGCTTTATTCGATCTTATTTGGAAATACAGTTTGTTCACATGCTAAAATATCGAGTCGATATAGTACTGCCCACATTAAAAATATTATGTGTGAAATATGTTGATTTCACACAAGGACTTCATACGTCTTATATTTTAATTTTGTCACTAATCTTTAATTGACAAGTTTGCATCGTTAGAGCTTGAAGAATCTACCTCAAATAAGTCACTCGCTTGTGAGTATGGAAGAAAGAATCGCATCACAAGTTGACATTTCAAAAGTTATTGACTGCCATTCTTTCAGTGATTTGACACACCTTCTTTGAGTCACAGCCTATGTGTTAAGATTTATACACAACCAGAGAAACAAGGCTAATGGCAGCCAAGCACAAGGAGAAGTGTTGCCCAAGGAGTTATCAGTCAGTGAGTTAGACGAATTTGAAGCTGTGTGGTTAAGGATGGTGCAATCTTTGGCATTCAAAAATGAAACAGTGCTTGAATGGGCATCAACGGTCCTCACCACCAGTACTAGTGCCACAATTTGTGTTATATTTCGATGAAAAGGGCATCATTTGCTACAAAGGTAGAATAAACGAGACATTGCTTCGTCAATCAACAAAATATCTGATCCTTCTGCCATCAAAACACCACCTTTCTATCTTGGTTATATGTGAAACACATCAGCAAAACAAGCATAATGGCTTAAGAGACACTCTTGCAACAATATGTGAATGATTTTGGATACTCGAGGGACGGGAAGAATTTCAGAGGTACATTAGACATTGCATAGCCTTTCGAAAGGTTGAGAGAAAGCTATACAGTCCAGCTTGTGTCCCTGATTTATAGAGTTATCAAGTTTCTGAAAATCGCCCATTTTCCCATATTGGGTTGGATTTTGCAGGTCCTCTTTATATCAAACTAACCGGGCAACAAATTCAGTCAATGTGTGGTGAAGCAACAAAGGTTTATGTATTGCTTATGACTTGTGCTTCTACTAGAGCGACACATTTACATAAGAAGCTTTAATTGAACTCGCAAAATTTACAATGCTAAATGCGAACGAAACAAAATACATTACAACAAAGGCAAGTTAGATATGGGATCGTCAAACAGACTCAAAGTCCCGACAAGGCAAACCCCGCACATAAATTACAACCAGAAATTTACATTATTAAGAAAACACAAATCTTAAGCTTATTAACTAACAACATGACGGGCTGTCAATAGACCTACAAGAAGGACATATTGTCTTCCACATACTTAATCTGTACGTATCAAAAACGTTCTGTAACTTTATAAAATAATGTTTATATAAACGAGATTTAAACGCACTGATGGAAGATGATTTGCATATTTCAAGTGGTAGATTATTCCAAAGCTTTACAACACGATTGAAGAAGGAGTCTCTAAATAATGAAGTATAGAGACAATGTACTGGATACAGATTTAAACTATCAGTAGAGCTCCTGGTGCGACCACTTGAGACTTGTATGTAATCTTCAAGCTGTACATTAAATGAACTGCTCATATACTTGTAAACAAAGCATAAGTCACAACACTCCAACCAGTAGGAAATAGGAAGCAGGTTGAGAGTAATCAAGCAAGACTTGTAGTTGGGTTGGACAAGATGATCGTTGCTGCAGTTGAGGATGAAACACGTAGCTCGCCACTGCACACCCTCCAATAGTTTTAAATCTGTTCTGCATGACTGAGGAGCCCACATTTCGCTAGCATAACTTAGGTGGGAGCGCACCAGTGATAAGTACATTGACCTTCTGTGGGCAGGCCCAGTTAAGGTAATGCCGAAGTGTTGTTGTAGGAAGCCAAGTGTCTTGTTTGCTTTGGCAACAACAGAAGAACTTTGGAGGTCCCACGTCAGCTTGTTGTTAACTAAGACCTCGAAGTCTTTTGATGAGGGAACAACAGTGAGTGGGTGGTCATTTATGGTGTAGGAATTGACGGTAGGTCTACTTCATCACCAGCATCAAGCGAGGTTCCCAAGTCATGAAGAACTTACAACAACTGTGTAATACAAGATCTTCCTCGAACAAAGCCATGCTGTGCAGATGTTAGAAGGTGTCTGAGCTTTGATAGCAAGTTCCTGAGGGCACAACGTTCACACAATTTGCTCACAATAGATAGAAGGGAAATTTGACAATAGTTGGGCACCAAAGATTTAGATCTTTTTTAAACACTGGTGTTATGCTCGCCTGTTTCCAATCACTCGGAAACTTACAAATATGTAATGACTTGTTGAATATTAAGCATAAGAAGGGTGCTAGTTCGTTTGCACATTCTTTCAGAATTCTTGGATGAAGATTGTCTGGTTCAGGTGTTTTGCTTGAGTTGAGATTTTATAGAGAGGACAATACTTCTTTGTTAGAAAATTCGAGGGTCGATACAATATCGTGCATGTATGGGGAGGAGGGAAGGTTATTGGGTGTTGATGTATCAGCGTTGAAAACGGTGGTGAAATATGTGTTGAACGCGTTGGCCTTCGACCTCGCATCCGAGTGAGAACGTCCGTTAAGTTTGACAGTTTCAGGAATGTTGGAATGTCTTGTCAATCGGTTAAGTAACTCCAGAAGCGATTAAGGTGAGAAAAGGCAATATGTTTAGATCTTATTAGGTATTTTACCTTCTTACGTTTTTCACGGAATCTCTCCCAAGTAGCCAGGTTGTTCTTTTCTTTTCCTCTTTTCTTTTGCCGTATTACATGGGTTACTTCTCCATCAATCCATGGTGGTGTTATGAACTTACGAGGCTTGTGCTTCGGTATGAAGGCGTTCAGCTTGGAGAAGAGTTGTGTTTTCCGTGAAGTCCAGTTGTGTTCAACATCTTTATCCGTATCTAAATAGTTCTCGAGCGGGTCGTTCCTTAACACAGTTTGTAGTCCTTCAAAGTCGGCCTTTAAGGTTCAATGTTTCCTGCCTATTATCATTAGGGGTGCGTGCAGTGAAGTTTAAATCAAAGGTTGCTTTGTGATCAAATGGTACACCAATACTCTCACACTCGGGTACTGAAATGTTTATGACATGTTCACAAATATTGGTGAGGAGCAGATCCAGACAATTATTGAAGTGGGTGGGAGACTCGATTAGTTGGAACAGGTTGTTGTTATTTGAAAGGCATTGACAGAATGTGAATGATGCGGAATCGCTGGAATCACAGAATCCAGATCCATCAAGTCAGGTTATGGTTGGCAAGTTAAAGTCTCAGAGCAAGATCTCTTTCGGTAGTTTCACTCATTCAACGACTCTATGATGTCATAGACCCAGTTGGTACAGGCGCAGGGAAGTCGATATACTACAGCGACTAGAATTTTGCCACTGCTTCTTGTGTTAATTTCAATAGCCGAAAGTTTGATGTTATTGTTTTTTTGTAAAAACAACAGGACTGCATCGTAAATTACCACAATTTGCTAACAAGACACCACCACCGCGAGAGATCGTTGGACATTTACGGTCGCACCGAAAGATGTCATAATTCATAATGTCATTTAGAGTTGATTCATGGACTTCGTGTTCCAGCATTCTTATTGGCGATTTCACGATTTGTAAGCAGAAGAGGATTACCAGCAATGCTTATCTCCAACAATGCCAAGACATTCAAAGTGGCCTCAAACGAATTAACCCGAATTACACGTTCAGAAGAAGTATCTTGATATTTTGCAAACAACCAAGTAACATGGAAGTTCATTGTGGATTGAGCACCTTGATGGAGTGGTTTCTGGGAAAGGATGGTTACAACCGTAAAGCAGAACCTCAAGAAAGCTGTTGGACGACCAACCCTTTTGCACAATGAATTTAATACAATCTTGACAGAAATTGAATCCATAATCAACACAAGACTGATAACGTATGTATATGGCAACATTGAATCTGTGTGTTACCCTCTAACTCCATCACACTTGATTTTGGGATGAAAAATTACCAACATGGCAAATAGTAGTCATTTTGAAGTTGTGAGCACAGGCACCTCTCTAACAAGAGCAAACCATCATCGTATTTTACTAATGACTGGTGATGTAACTATCTTCTTAACCTTTGAGAAAATAGCACTACTAAATGCCTTCTAAGAGTAAGCCAAATCAAACTATAGTTGCTGTAGGCAATATTGTGTTAGTAAAATCAGATTCAACATCAAGAAACGTTTGTAAACTAGCGAAAGTCGAAGAGTTGTTTGTGAGTAGAGACAGAGAGGTCAGAGCAGCTGTTGGACAGAATGACATCAGATCAAGGAAAACCGTCAGCATTAAGAAGAATTATCCAGCGACTAGTTCCACTTGAAATTCAAGCATCAGCAGAGAATGGAACACCAACTACACCAATTCTGCCAGCCAACAAAGAATCAAATTGAATCAAGGTTTGTCTATCAGTAACAATACAACAATGTGATGACAAGCAGAAATTGTTGGAGAACTAAATCAAAAATTGTGTGTGTGTAAAAAACGTTTATATTTAGACACAGAGACTATTAAGTTATTAAGTATAAATTCACATGTTTAAGTATAATTTAGTATATTTATGTTAATTATGTAATGTTTAATGTGTGATGTGAATTATACAACATGTTGTTGATTTCAATTCGAAGTGTGAGTGGTTATTAAGCGAATTTTACAAGCGAAACAACAATATTTGTCCATACTTTTTTACAACTAGTCAACATTCTACCGTCAACAGTTGTAGACATTTCACAACCACACCTGCCCCATAAACCCACCCAGATGCCAGCTGAAATCACTCCTACAAAGTGATAGCACTGCTCCTTCTGGAAGGAATGTGGATATAACAAAAACAACTGTGGACTTCTGAAATTCAACAATTCACTACCAACTGGGATAACAGGCCAAGTGGTGCAACTACTTCAGTGCAACTGCTTCGTGTAGTCACATCTACAGCTATGGGTAATTTCACAGTTTGGTCTTTCCCCTTTGTAATTTCACAGTTTGGTGTTTCACAGATTTCTATCAATGATCATGTGAAGAGCAATGGCTACACCTTGATTGCGATGCTACTAGCTAAGGCTTATTTAATGAACAAATGCCTATTACAACTTGACCATGATCGACCCTTATCAAGACATTGGAATACAGTGATAGTATTGTGTATATTTGGAGGCAACAACGTCTACAACAACTGTATTCTGTGATCGCTTGTAGCATTGGGGAAGTCGATTTAAATGAAGAGCTTACCATATGTTTTACAAGAGAAGATGATGCTGACAACAAATCTACACTCTCCCATCAGCTCACAAGTTACTTTGACACCAGCAACAATTCTGCTGCCTTCGTGATCTTCAGCAGGAAGACCATCACGTTCCTGAAGCAAGAGAACGCCATGATTGTCTTGGACACTCATGTGGACTGGAAGTCCAGTAATGGAGCTGTCCGATGGCACCCAAGCAGAATCTAGAAAATCTTCTCGCTTGGAAAAAGGCTGAATAATAGCTAGACAATGGATTTGTGTATAATCACCTTTGTGAACGATCTTTCTTGAATTTAAACAGAAAGTGATCAATTACTTCTTAATACACAATAACTTTTGAACTGCATTGTTTTTTAAATGCAAAGGTTCAATTACCTTTTTTCACACAGTATACCTATTAAGGGGTTCAAGACTAGAAATGTATTGAGGAACCTTGCTTCTCTTAGTTTGATCTGCAAGCCTCGGGAAGTTTCTTTTTAAATGGACAAACCTTTTTTGCATTAGTAACTCTATCCTTGTATGTCCAAGGTCCATTTACATTTGGACACTGTCCCAAATTCTCCCTGTAGACACCAGGTTTTCTTTGCAGTTGGCACCAAATAACAGAAAGTTGTCATTTGTGGTTTCAACTGGGTGACCAACACTAAAAAACTTACTAACCATGACATTGACTCACCCCATTTCCTGAACGGTGCTCCATCACCTACAACTGTTACCCTAAAATGCCCAACTTTACTTCCAAACCATCTTAGTTTATCCTCAGCCTTTGTATGGGTCAGTGTCCAAGTAAAACTTGGCAAGGCAGAAATAAGCTTTCTAGATCTCTGTACGTGCCATCTACCCTTTCATCTGAAGGCAAAAAATTTAAAAGCAAATTGCTTACTGGTAAGAGCCGCCAATATCAATACTATTATGAGGGGATTTTTTAGAAAGTTGTGTAATTGGTGCTCAAAACCAATCAGATTGGCAGAATGCTGAGAAGGTGATAGAACAATGCTGGCAATATGGCTTCGTCATTTTGTGTCAAGGAGTGTGTTATTTGAAAATGATGCAGTTTTTAACACAAATGACAACTGCATGGGGAGATTTTTGGTAGATAATTAATCAATTTAATCTTCAAGAAGTAAGGAGATGGATTTAACAAGATGAATTTATAATAAACAAAAAATTACAAGCAATGCAATGTTTAGTGGCATTTGTTTTGACTGGACTGTCATGGAACCTTGGAAGGAATTTATACTGATTTGCTAGCCAATAACCTGCTTCTGATCAAACTCGAAAATATTAAAACAAACCTGACATACTCAACTTACAGCAAATCGTATATTAACACAACTGGCGTGTTTGTCCAACATTAATTTTGCAGTTATTGACAAACGATTTCAAAATTTACTGATTTATTTGGAAAGGAGATTAATTGCAGCATGTTTGGCTATAGCTTTAGAACTAAATGGAAATATTGAACTACAGTATATGTTCTGTTTTTTAAGATATATTTTCTGCATTTACATGTATCGATTTTAAAATGCAAATGCTAAATAGGTTTGAATTTTAGTTTTTACTGCTCTTCCCAGATGAGACTTAAATTACACCATTGGGTCATTGGTAAAACATAATTTCAGCAGTTATAAATCACCCAAAACTGCTTCTGATCTAACTAAAATGTTTTTCACAATAGACCCTGGGTCTGATAGTTTGCAAAAAGTATAATTCGATACAAATTTGAGTGGTCGTTTTTTAACATTTTTAAAATCAATCAAAATTACAATATTCACAGTTTTTTTCTGTGTTGGTGTTGTGTACTCAGGTGAATAATATGTTTGCAATGGTGGGATTCGAACCTACGACCTTTGGAATACTAGCCCAATGCTCTTCCAACTGAGCTACGTGGTCAGGACGGTTCCAGTAAAGGTTCGAATCCCACCGTGGCCGGGCATATTTTTCAAGCTTGCCCGGTCTGGATATGCACTCAGAGTAACATCGCAAACATAATATTCACAGTGTTTATTTACTTGAACAGCCCAGTAGTTATACAACCTCGTACCCAGGACTAGTCGCAAATTGAAGGCGGCGACATAGCCCTGGTAAACGCTGGTCACGTGTCAGGCAAATACTCCAAGATTCTTGGAGTATTAGCCTGCGAGCGGGCTTTGTGGAAATAAAGACAGGGGGGCGACGAAAAGTTCACGAATGGATCTTGAATTGCAGCAGATTATTTATATTCTTTTATTTTTTGTTGTATTCTTTCTTCTTAATATGTTACGTTTATATATTACGTCGAATGCACATCAATCTTCTTTTATATCGCATCATGTAAATCGCCGAGGAGGCGATGTTTCGAATTTCGAAGCAGTGAAAATGGAGCCAATCTCGTACCTACTATTTGAGTATTTGTGATGATTTCCATCAAGTATAAAAAGGTACAGTATATATGAATTTGAAAATGTTTAGAAGTATTTCATTGTTACAAATTATTTAGCAGATTCCCATCATTTGTTTATACACTGTCTAGCTCTATGAAATTTATATTTCGAAGGCTATTTACTGTAATATATTTTATACAGTATGTTAATATAGTTAGCTGAATTTGTACAATTGTAGTTAAATATTGTGAATATTGAGAAACACATGGCCAGACTTGAGAAACGTGTTTACACTTTAATACAATATTATTATACTACATTTACATTTACAGTAATGACCTGAAATTATTTAAATGAGCCATTACTGTAATAACAGAGTGGCCAGGTTGACAAAGCTAAAATCTGATGAACCTAACCTGCTAGGATATTTCAATAGTCAAACATCAGTTTCAGCACTCCAGCTGGTCAGGGATTTTTTAGGGAAAAGTTTTAGCACCCCATTGTAAAACCTGCCCCCGAAAATCTCAAAATTTCATTATTTTGTTCCCTTGCCTCTACAATCTATATTTATACCTTTTGTGCCCTTGAGATCTTTAAAAAAATTGCCTAACTCTGCAGTATGGCGTGTAACCTTGTTGCCATATTTATTTTCTGACTTCGGGCTTCAATAAATTTCTACTCTAATACCCGACAGAGATGGGGCCATATGTATGAACAATAAGAAATGATTTCTTCATCTATTATTGACCCCTTACCTTTCACCCAATTTTAAAATTAAATTTACTGAATGATTTTGAAGTTTTCTAGATTATTGAAAATAACTTTATGGGTACAAGAAATGGGGCAAAAACAGTTGAATTAAGCAAGATGCAAGTAACAATGAACAAGACCAGGTCACTGGATGGTATTTCAGCACACTGGTATAATACCTGCAACCTGTGTCACATTTATATATATAGTTTTACACTGTACTGGAAAAATAATGTCAAGGAATTTGTAGAGATTCAGAATGCACACTTCATGGTTTATTCAATCACCAGCATGCATGAATCATTTTATGTTATGAATATTTTTTTAAAATTATTCTCACTTTATAGATAAAATTATATCAATTTTTAATATCATAAATTAATATATAGTATCTTTTGATTAAACAAATTATAATAATATATCAGCAAATAAAGACTGGTCTCTCTGAAATCCATATAGAAAGATTCAAATTTGACTTCCACTACCACTACTTGATCTGGCAGTTGCATCCGATTGTTTGATTGGATAGATGAAACTTATCTGGTTAATAGTTAATGATAGCAATAGCAGTAGCGGAAGTCAAATCTGATCTCTCTATTATTTTTTGAAGGTTTGCTCTAGTCACGTCAATTCAGGGTTGCCCATGCAACTTGGTTAGCACAGCTAGCTCTTCATGTTGGAGGTCCAATTCTTAGGATTCTGCAAATTAATTCTAGAAACCTGGCTTTGGTTTGGGCTAAACAAAAATCATCACACTGTTTATCATGCTGATTTGGTTGTTTAACAGTTAAAGTCCAGGCTGCATGTTTTTTTGTCCTGCATATGGCAGATGGGACAGTCTGGTTTCCAAGTGTTTATGTGGGGAATTAATATTAATCAGGACTGGCTTCTGAGTGAAGGTCTTGCCTGCTTTATGTGAGAGCAGGCTCTATGTGAGATTCCAATTGCTACACAGCATGATCTCAGTGCTCTTCCTCTGAAACAATGCTTGGTTGCAATATCATCCAGCAAGTGCAAAAATGTACTACCACGGTCAAGGATCATTTGGCATGTTCATCGACTATGTTAACCCATTGAGTGGTGCCATGCACCCTCCACCTGACGAGTAAAATTGTCTGGCGTAAGACAGAGTAAACTAACAAAGTAGGGTGCATCTGGGTGCATTGGGCCATTCCATTATTTAATGTATACACCCCTATGGACGAGTTCAATAAAATTTGAACCCCTAAGAAAAAAAAGATCAAAGTGCCGACCCCCCCTTCCAGAAATTAAGAAATTTTTGCCTTATCCCTCAGAAAAAATGCAAAGATCAAAGGATGCTGATGCACACAACCCCTCAGAAACGGCTTTTTCAACCCCCTCAGAAATTCTAGTCCATAGATACCACAGCACAACACTTGTACATATACATATACAAGTAATACAACAGCAATCCTTTTATATATTTAATAGTCATATTTACATATTGGTGAAATATCAATGTCCATATATTAGGGATGTCCATTGTCCATGAACTTGTCCCTAGTTTGAAGCTAATGTATTCATATCTTTTGTATAAGTTGTCCCTCTACAAACCAACTTTTAGTCATTATACAAGAGTTGAATTTGCATAAGTCGCAACAAAATGAACAAAGTACTATTCCATAAACCTGTGCAATGATCGAGCGTCTTTGGCGACATATCCATGTCTTTTAAACGTCTCATACGAACAAATCTCACTGAGTTTTTTCTACAGAAAGTATTGATCCATTTGATCGATCGCCGTACTTTGAGAAAAGCTTGAAGTGCAAAATTCAGAAGGAAGATTGAAGAATTTCGGAGATAAAAACAGTTTGTCTTCGAGTTTCACCTATTCACCCCCCGGTTGAGAAAAGTAACAATTACGTAATTTTGGAGTCACGTGACCAGCGTTTACCAGGGCTATGTCGCCGCCTTCAATTCGCGACTAGTCCTGGGTACGAGGTTGGTAGTTATATAGTCTTTTATAAAATAGCCTTTTAAAAACACGGGCGCTGATTAGCCAAAAGCTCAAAAAACCCGTGTTTCTATAACTCGACAGGAAATTTTTATGCATATTGCATGAATTGCGCAGGAGTTTAAACAAAATACAAACAACATTTAATTATAAT